GGATGCATCCTTTTCAGGTGCATTGGAGAAATTATTCAAACTAAGCCAAGTCACATAAAATATTAATAATGTATAATAACTTCTTGAATTAAACATTATGTAAAAGATTTTTATTATAGACATTTTAATATTAAAAACATTGTGAAGTGGGTGAAACCTTTATTTTTTGGAGGTGATCACAGCTCATCCTCTTTCATTTAAATTCCCCTAAATATGCTACAAAATATAACAATTAGGCATGTGAATTAATCTAATTTGTTATGTGTAGAAAACATGTGAAACATCAAATTATTATCTGAAAAATATTAGAAATTTACAATATTTTAAAATGACTGAAACTTTTGCTTGGTAGTGTGTGTGTGTGTGTGTTTCTCTCTCTCTCTATTATATATAGTGAGTTTGATCTTCACTGGGTGTATACACATTTTGACAACTGATAACACTTAATTTTAATTTCTTTTCAGATCTAACACATTAGAAATAATAATGGCAGCCAGGTTAAGCCATGAGCAAAGGAAACTTATCCTAAAGTGCTACTGGAGGATTGAAAATATAGTTAAAGTACAAAAACAATTCAGGAGGCAGTTCCAAACATATTCATTGATGCACCTTATCATTATTTCAATTAGAAATAAGTTTGGAGGCAGAGGTAACTGCTCAGAATGTCCACAAAAACATTTTGGAATTTTGCACAATGTTATATGTGTGTGTGTGTGTGTGTGCGTAAAATAAAAGAAAAAATAAGGAGGAAACTTTTTATGTCAACACATTGAATGTTCCTTGAAAAACTTTATCAAGGTGTACATAGAAATTCTAACATGTATTTATACAAAAAAGTAACAAGAAGAAAAATATACTCTAAAATATTCTAAAAACTTACTGTTACAGGAAAGGTAAACTATAGAGGATGCTAAGTTACATAATTTTTTAGCCTATTAATTTAATTTTTTCTACATTTCTGTGTATAAATACATGTTACTGAATAAAACACACAGACTTTATAATTCAAATAATACCCAAATAAAGAGAAACAACAGTCAAATTAATAATCCACAATTCTTTAGTATTTATTCTTAAAAAAAAATGCTTGATACAAAGTAGAGCATATTATTATAAAATTTATATTTAAAAACACGGAAGTTTCTGCATTTCGAAACCTTAAATTTGTTCCATTATGAAGCAATATTCAGTAAGGTTCTGAAACAGAAATTTCCATGATACAATGAAAAATATTCTTTAATATAAATATTATATATATATATATATATATATATATATATTAAAGAGAAGACAGAAGTCACAAATGTTTTGGTTTTAATGTGAATTTTTTAAATATATATTATACTTTAAAAAATATAAGGTGACTCATTTCTGAGTGTCTATCTGCTAGGGCAGCTAGTCATTCCTTCAGACATATTTGTTTAACATACACCGAACCCACCTGTAAATTATACTGCAACTATACTGAGCAGACCTTAGTTACAGTTTCTAGGAGAAAGCTCATTATCTTGTGTGATCAACAGTTCAAACAAAACCAGTACACACAAACCCTTAGTCACAATGACTTGTGATTTTAAAATAATTATTCTTACAAATCCAAAATGTTTGTTTTTTCTATCCAGCATGGCTTTTTTTTTCATTGCAGTGAACATCAATTCTTAAACTTATGCTTTGATAATATTCTCATTGTTCTCTGTAAGATTTACAATTTTCAATCCCAAGCAGGTTCACGATGTATATTATTTAAAGTCAAAACATTTTGGATTGTAAGAATAATTCTTTTTTTTTATGTCTTATCAACCCCTTTAAGTTTATTTAAAGCCAAAACATATTTTGGATTGTAAGAATAATTCTTTATTTTTATTTTTTGTGAATATTCCATAAAAATGTTTTAATAATGATTTTTTTAGATAATTCTATTTAATCCATAGCTGGGGGAGGGTATGGATTCATACCTTCCCCAAGTGATTTGCACATAAGTGAATATAACAAACTCAACTGGATTTTGAACTTTATCTCCAATTTCTCATTTCAAGTCACTACTTATTATACCACCCACGTACAGGAAATGATTAAAACAAAACAAAAAAAAATTCCATAAAAGAAAAATTTAACCATATCTTATAGCTCAGGTGTAACAGTTAGCATAGAACTTATGGTTACATCTATCAAATTCAACTGTAAAATGATGATTGCTGTCAATCTAGTGCTTAAACTTCTAAAGTTGATGTAGTAAAGAGGAAAGCTCATCAGATCAATTTCCCAGAAAATGTTTATAGAAATGTCACAGGGAATCCACATTACAACATTGGGAAAATGACTGAAGCCAAGATTCCAGGTCAGAACCAATAATATTGCAGATTATTTTATCAAGAATCTCTAAATACATAGCAGAAGCACCAGACCAGATGTAGCAGAAATATTCAATACATGGATGAATGGTAGACTTATAAATGTGTAAGATAGATTCTGGGGAGGAAATTGTCTAGTACAACACAGTGAACCAACTTCCCTAGTAGCATACCTAGTAATTGATTCAATATCATTGTTCCATTTCATGTTAGGAGGAAAACATTAGCCCAAGAATTTGTCCCTTATTGAGTTGTTTAACATTGAAATTCGTTTTTTTTATTATACTTGAGTCTATAGGTAAACATCAGTATATTTTGGTTGAAATGTACCAAGTCAATTAGATAATGCACATAGGTAATCCTTCACTTAAGTGGTGTAAAATAAATGGCTATTCACTGAATGGCATAAACTAAAAAAGACCAAGGTATATATGTTGGCTCCCTGTGCCGCACCAGGAAATTTTTCTCCCTGGAATTGATCCTCCAGATCTACAAATCAGCAATTCACCCTTGCATGGAGTATTGCTGCCACATATGGTCTGGAGCTCCTTCTGTTTGCCTAGGGGTTCTTGATAGGCTCCAGAGGCAGATATGCAATATAATTGGCCCTGCTCTGGCGTCTCGTCTACAGTCACTTTCTCACAGACATGCCATCGCCTCTCTCTGTCTGTTTTACAAATACTTTCATGGCAATTGCTCTGAGGAGCTGCATTCGCTGGTTCCCAGACTTCATGAGTTCAAGCGCCCTACAAGGCTGGCATCCCGCTCTCACCCTTTCACTGTCGAAACTCCTAAATGTAGCCATCTCTTCTACTCCAATAGCTTCATGTCTCGGACCTCTTGCCTGTGGAACTCCCTTCCCTATTCCACTTTCCCTGAGAGCTATTTAAATGTAATGTCAATCAACATCTCCAGTTGCCTTGATCTTTCCACTACCCTTCTCCTCATCCTTTCTTCTATCACTCCTATCTGTTCTTGCTCCAAATTTTCTGTAACCCCTTGCGTCCTAGTGGCTTCTCGCCTTGCTTGGGGTGAAATGCTTAAAAATGTTAGGCTATGCAGCAAATAAATGCTGAAAACATGGGAATGTTTTTGTATTGCAGGATCCACAAGATACTGCTGATAAATACCGATGCCATGAAAGCATATCCTGTGATTGATTTCAGCATTAGCAGCTCAGCCTTTTGAAACAATATGGCTTCCAGGTTGAACATACTTCAGAATTTCTGGTCACCGATTTGGCACCTCAACTCAGAAATACTTTCCTAATTCTGTTCGATACCATCAAATACACAATGGCCAGGGCACCATTAGTTACAGTGATATTTACAATGAAACATTTAAAGATAAAAAATAAGTTTATTTTATGCTGTTTAAGTGAAGCAGAACTCTGACAGATAATTTTATACGACTTATGTGGAAAATTACATGCACATAGTATCCAGTATCACTAACCATGCTTTAGTAAAAGTTAAAGGTTTGGATTTGTCTTCAAATTCCCAGAAATTTATATTGTCAGAATGATTTCATTAGATGTGTAGAAAGTTTCCCAGACACCTTACTTTTAAAAATGTGGTATAATTGGCCATGGTTAAGTAGAATTGACAAAATTCTCAAACAATAAGAAGAAAAAGAACAGGACAAAATAATACTAAGCAAAGAATATATGTATATATTTAATGCAAGTTAAAAATAAAAAGGAAAAGCAAAGCAAAAAAAAAAAGAAAAAAAAGAGGGGGATAAGAATTGTATTCACATGCAAAAGGGATACAGTCAAGTGATTATAGTGTTCTGACTTCAAAGCAAAAAAAAAAAAAAAAAAAATGTGAGGGATAAGACTGAGATTTGTTCATTATTATTGGTTAAGGAGAAATCCCAGCATGCATCTTTAGGATTTGTTTATAAAATTGGATTGGGACCAAGACTAAAGTGAATACAAGGTAAAACACTTTTTTGCTTTACATAGAGACATTAGAAAAGTGTTTCAGTCTTTATTTACAATTCAGCTCTTGAAGCTTCCTTTTGTCAAACTTCAAAATGGTAATTATTGTTTCATTCTTAGTATCAAAAATAACTCGAAAAAAATGGCTTTAGATAGAATTTCTTTTGATACATTCTGGTATTAAAATTGATTAATTTTATGCTTTCAATATATATTTTCATGATTGAAATTTTCTTGTATAATATAAAACATAAAAAAAAGACAACAGCAAACATGAGCACATGGAATAATTTTATTTATAGGCAAATAATTCATCAATAAGAAATCATCTTAAAACAAATATATAAAATCTATTTTACAAAAAAATTAAATAACAATAAAAAAATTATTTGTTTAAAAAGTTCAGTGATCTCATGAATGATGCCAGAAAGAACTGGTAATAAGTCCTGTTGGTCTTGCAATTTGGCCTCTGTTTTTGATGTTGGCCTCAAGAAATGTTTCCAACCTAGAAACTGAACCAACAGATGGACTAACTGCCTTAATCTTTGGTAAAAACTCAGTTATAAGAATATGTAACAGTTTCTGAAATGGTTTGCGGTAGTTAGTGAACAAGGTGTGACCTGTAACCTCCAAAAGATTATAGATTACAGCAGCTGTGATATCAGGTCTAGGATCAATATTAAGTGTCCTGGACACCCAGGTCCAACAATTTTCAATCCCATGTGGATGGGATTTGTTAACTCCTGGTGGCATTGGAGACACCATCATGGCAGCATATAATCGCATTATGCCTGTCATTCGAGTTAAGAATTTTTCTTGGTCTTCTATCTTTCCATTTTCATATTTGTAACCAAGCAATCTAAAAAAATAAAAATAAAAAATATAATTCCCTAAATTCAATCATGTAAATGACTACAGATTTTTAAACAAACAAAACTTATAATTAAAAACAGCTTTGTCATTAATAAAATAAATTCCTTGATAGAACCCTTTACAAAAAAAATTCATTTTACAAACAAATTTCAATCACAACCAAAGAAAATAAACTTTAGAAAGATGAAATCTAAAATACATCCTTGTAGGAAATCAATATTTAATTAACAATCCAGTTTCCTTGATTTTGTTAATATTTCCATGTTTATTGCCATCATCCTCATAACATTATCTACATCTAGAAAGGATGAAAACAACTGTAAAAATCTTATAGTTAATCAATGCTTTACTCTTTGATTTACACTTATTAATAAATTACTAAATTATTAAAATCTTATAAAAACTTTTTAACTACCATAGCAGACATGACTTTTTGGTTTAATAATTGTGTTCTATAAACAAATGTTACTTTGTGTAGACATACTTTTAAATCATTAAACTTATAAAGGCTGAAGATCTAAACAGACAAAACTATAACAATAAATTATTAAATCATTGCCATATACTCAAAATATCTGTAATGTATATGATAATAACAATATTAATATTTGAAATCTTACTTTTGGTGATCTTCTGTGCTTTGGCCGTCTTCTTGTGGTATGTAATATGGCACAATATATGGACATGCAAGATGGAAATTGGCCAACAGGAGTTCTCCTAAATCTGGTAAGTTTACCCACAAACCCACAGCAACAGTAGCAATTGCAAATGCAGATTCATAGCTTGAGGAAACCTGCTCAGCTCCTTTTTTCTGAAAATTTGAAGCAAGAATTAAAAACAAAAAACAAGATATATGATGCAGGACTGAGAAAATATTCATAAATAAATCTAAGAGATTTAAATTTATTATTCAAATTCATTATTATCTTGTAAGGAAAAATAATTAAAATTGAGGAATTTTGAAGAAATATTATGTAAAGCTCATTTAGAAAATTGAAATTTAATTACTTTACAATTGTAAACACCAACATAAGTTGAAAACAGTAAAAAACAGTTAATTCCTTATTATTTCTGCCTTAAAAAAATCTTTTACTAAAAAGGGAATGTGAGATTCCAAGTATTAAAAAAGGCACCTACAGTAACAAAAAAATACCCTGTGAAATTTGAAAAGTACAGACATTAATTAAACTGATACAAAGCAATATAGTAAGTACAAATTTTATTAAAAAAGGCTTGCACAAGAATTACCTTTCATGTTCCTTAATAAGGACAAGGCAAGATAACATAAAATTTTAGACACAATTGGTTCTAAAAAAAAAGAAATTCACTTTTGCAGCCTCCAACCTAAAAACACCATATATTTATTTCCTGCACATTAAAATTTGTGTTTGGATGTTGAAATTGAACATCTGGAAACTATTATGTTTTCAATCAAGAGAATTAAAATCAGTAAAGGAATTTTCAATTTAATTGATATTCAACAATCAATAATATTAGACAAAATAAATCCATCAATGATTTGATGCTAAAATTTATAAAATTTTGATTCTACATAAACTCTACAAAATCATCCACCATATTATATATATTTTTTCTCTGGACAAAGATGCATTGATTTTTATTATAGGCATTCAAGGCCCACCTAGCTGTTCAGCGGGATTATGGAAATACTTAACAGGGATGGCAAAAGTATAATAGTGGCACTTTATCTACAGATAAGACATTATGAAGTTGAAAAGTCAATGAATAGTAAATAAGTTTACTTATATTAACTGTTAAAGAATTAAGCAAAGATATTTATAAATATCTGTTAATAAAAAAAAGAAAACTTTAAAAATCATTAATATAAAATGTGGAATATTTTTTGTTATCTCAAAAGTGAATAAAATTTAGAAAGTCCAAACATTTCAGGGTAAAGTTTAATCTTTGTACCTACCAAATAATGTCTCAAAAGGACGGTTATTCTCTTGACACCATTATTACTGCAAGCATTTTTGGTTCCATTGGCAATGTTTATTTACAAGATTATAAAAATGTGAACAAAGTATAATGCAATATTTATTATTTACCTCTTATAGAGATTTATTATTTACCATTTTATAAAGAAATAAATTTGAAAAGAAATATTTTGGTTCAAAATGAAGGAAATGTCCAGAAAATGCATATCTTCAAATTTTATAATTAGTTATTTGTTGCATTTATTTAATTTTTTTTTGTTTACAGGCATTTTTATAAAATAAAAAAATATCTTTTCATATTTATTTATTTATAAAATGGTAAATAGTAAATATTTCATTATAGTTGGTTCATATATTTTTATAATCTTGAAAATATAAAATTATTCTTGTAAATAAGCAAATAGTGTTTAATACCTTTGTCAATTCTCAAGAATAAAGAAAATGTAAAAATCCACTTCCATATGTCTGGGCATTATTAAAATTCTAATCATCACTTTTTAAAGCAATAAACATAGCCAAGAGAGTGAATTGAGTTTACAATAATAGCAGTGTCAAGGGAATAACCATTTTTTTGACACTTTTTTGTGGGTATGAAAGTTCAATATTGCTTATGTATATAAAAGTATTAATGAAATCAATACTTACAACCAACATTTTAGCAATGAGATATTTAGCAAATGTGATGCCTTCAGGTTGTTCTTTAGCTGATATATATTTATTTGATACTTCAATGTTTTGTCCCTGAAGAAGCATTGTCAATTTGTTAAGTTTGTCTTTTAAATGAGAACCACTTAGTGGAGATATTGCATTAATCAAAATATTTGCTGCCTTGCGTATTTTGAATCTATACTCCTTCAGCTGAAATTTAAAGAGACAAAAAAACAAAAAGAAAAATTTAAATTATTTTGCAACATTAATTTCAAGAGCATAAAAAACATTAAGCAATCAATTTCTAAATTGTTATTTGGCATTATTAAGAACAAGCTGCATATATTTTTTATGAACCTTAAAACCCAATGTATAGAATAATTATTATGATGTATGAAAGTACTTTTCATTTTACAACTTATTTCACATACACATCTCAAAACTTGGGGTCGGGCTTGTTGGACTCAGCCTGAATGAGTCAACATTCAAGTATATCTATTTCAAAGCAATAAAAATCTTTCATAATTATTTATTTATTTATTTATTTTTTTTAAGCATTTCACCCCAAGCAAGGTGGGAATGCAACTGGTTTGTAGGGGGTTACAGAGTGAAGGTGAGAGAAAAACTATGTATAGGAGGAATGAGAAAAGGATAAAAGATGAAATTTTTAAATTTCTGAAGATTGTAGTTTTCAGGGAAGCAAGTAAATGGAAGGGAATTCCACAGGTGAGAAAAGAACCTGTTGGAGTAGAAGTAGGAGTTACATTTAACTATTTCAATGGTAAAAAGGTGGGACCTAGATGCCAGTCTAATAGAATGCTTAAATATATGTAGTTGGGGCACCAGGAAAAAAAGCTCTACAGAACAGTAGCCATGGAAATATGTCGTTTTCATTCTTGACTTCAACTGGATCCAAAATGAATTGTTTTAACTCAATGCCTCAAAATATTGACCAAAATACATTTTGTTGATATTTTTCACAATAAAGAAGAAAAAAACCCCAAAAAACAAAGAAAGTTATATATATATATATATATATATATATATATATATATATATATATATATATATATATTAGTCCATTATTGTAACTTTTATAATGACAGATACGAAAACTGAGATTTTGGAAAATTTTTAAACATTATTTTTCATCCTTAGGCTTCACACACACACACACACACACATATATATATATATATATATACACACACACACACACACACACACGGTTTCTTGTCCTTTTCAAGATAAAGTGCAGAAGTGGATGAATATCAGTTGTTAATTATGAGATGTCAAAATGCAAGATGGAAAAACATGATCATTAACACTCAAAAAATAACCTCAAAAAGACTAGCCTCATTAAAAGATATTATAGCTGAAGAATTACAATAAGCTTAAAAAAAAAACAATAAAACACTTTAGATATACACTCATTATTAGGCCTTCTCGCATAATTTTTGTAAGATTCACTCATGACCAAAACTCTATTTGAATAAAATATAGAATCCAATTTTTATAAACTTTTGTTATGCTACAACTTTATTTTCTCCTGTTCATTTGCAACTTGTCAGGGAGATATTTAAGACATATACACAGTGGTATAATTTTATGTTTGGACATGGAATGGGGAAATTTAATCTTCCAGCATGAACTTTCATTAGTAGAAAATGCATGGGAATACATAATAGATATGTACACATAAATGCAGGAAGAAGATTTTCATATTTAGCTTTGTTTCAAATCCTGAAATTGACTTGGATAATCTTTTTCATTCTATAATGGCTTATCTTGGAAAGAAATTAGCTTTCACATCAGTAACACTTGCTTGTTTCATTACAAATTATATTAAATTACTTTACTCTGTTCATTTAACTAAATTAATGATCTGGTTCTATAGAATGATGCCGAAATAACATGGTCAAAGCATATAAACAATAAGGAAGTCTTAAGGAAAATAAAAACAAAAAGGACATTTAGAATCAGAAAGTGATAACTGAAATTTCTTGAAGACATAATGAGGAAGGAGGCCTTGGAAAATTTGATACTCACAGAACATTTTGAAAACAAAAGGGACATTTGGATGCAAGCAAGCCACTTACCTAATGGTGGCTTATTTGAATGTATGGCAGAATAAGGAATGGGAGGTATGTTAAAAAGACAGGCATTACTCAGAGCTTTAAAAGATAAGAAATTGTGAAGAATTATGATGGAAGGTATAAGTCACATAGAAGATTGATTGATTCATTTTACAGCTTATAAACCCTTTGTAGGTTATTTAAAGTCAAAAAATATTTTTGAACTTTGTAATATTTTTTTTTTGTGAATAAAAATTGTATTAACAATTTGGGAGATAAATTATAAATATTATAATAATGATTAATTTTTTCCAGGTATAAATTTGCATAAAAATAGATTGGGATAAAGATTTTCCTTAAGAATAGATTGCAGGACTTTTGCAGGGAAAAAAGGACAGGGGAAAGCAACACATAACATACTTAATAATGGGCTTGAGCAGGACAGGGTCTAGAACAAATAGCAAGAAGGCAAAACTTATTAAAAGCTACAAGGGACAGATATGGTGGGTCATGATTGCCTTCGATCCTGAAGTGACATAGTACATAAAAGAGGAAGAAGCTGATATGTTTAATGGGGAAAAAAAAAAAAAAAAATGAAGATTAATTTAAGTGTGAGACACTCACTCATGGAAATTTAATCAAAATAAAAGGTGGTGGATTTAACATGTGCTTGTGTGTGTGTGCGTGTGTGTGTGTGTGTGTGTGTGTGTGTGTGTGTGTGTGTGTGTGTGTGTGTGTGTGTGGTTTTTCCAGCCAATATATTTAATATGTGAAGAAGCATCTGTAGACAATTGACAGATGAGCTCTGAATTCTCCAGCTACTTAATATAAGGACCAGCAGAAAGTGATGAACATTACAAGAAAATAAAAACATTTTGGTGCTTCTGGTAATAAAAATGGCTTAGTTTATCTCATGAAAAATATCTTAATTTTAAAACATTTTTTAATTAGTTTTCCTCATTAAAAGGTCAAATGTATTTTTATTTTTACGAATAATGTTTCACAAAAGAGAATAACAGACAACCATATTCTTCTATATTATATAACACAAAGGGTGAATATGTCATCATAAATTCCTATTGTATAGCGTTTAAAACAAAGATGGAAATGAAAATTGATCTAATAAAATACTTAAATATAATAGCATTTAAGCTGATATGTGTATCTAAATTCCTACCATTTGAAAATCCATTTTTTTAAAAATATTCTTGTAGACCACTTTTGTCTGATTTATGTCTAGATAAAAAATAAACAGTAAAAGATATTTTGATTTACCTGTGCATTCTTTAAAAAGGCATCTAGTTGAGTCTCCACATCTTTTAATTTGGTTTGTAGACGTAAATATTCTTTTAGTGCTTCAGGATCAACAAACTGAGAAAATTGTTCCAAGGCTGAAAATGAAATAAAAATTATTTGCTATTTAAAAAGGTTCTCTTCCCCTTTATGTGATAAATGTATTACAAAAAGTTTAAACATCATAAACACAGTGTCACATAATAATAATAAAAATGTTGCAAAAGAAACAAAACATATTTGATAACCTATAAAATAAATAAACATGTTTAAATTCTCTGTTTCCATTTTTTTTTATAATGAACAGATTCTTTGCTGTTTAATTTTTCAAACACAAAACATTTCTGCTTCTTAATATTTATTAGTTTTTATGCATAACTGATTTAATATAAGACAGGTGATTATAAACTACCTTGCTTCTTAATTCTTAGGTACAAAACACCTTTACTTGGCTTTTGGGCTGGGATCAAAATATAATATCTGGTCACTTCCTTTCTGCTGACAGTTCAATTTTTTTAATGAGTGATGCCTAGCACCAGAGATTCCAACCTTGCAGCAATACTTTCCTCATGATGGATACTGATGCTAGCATGGTAGTTATCACAAGACAATTAGTCAATTATTGTTCTTGGTCCATATGTATTCATATGGGCATATCCATGTAAAACTGACCTTTTTGTCCTATCCTGTCATGGTGATGATGATGATGCTGCTTGAGAAATAAATACCTCTTTTACTTGACCTTTGAGCTAGAATCAAAGAATGATATTTATTCTCCTGTATTTCTGATTTCAGGTAATTCAATGAAAGGCAATATGGAAAATCCAACCCTGTGCTTACATCCTATTAGCATTTGTAAATTTTAAGTTTAATGGCATATTTCTTCTTAAGGACATAAGCAATTATGATTCCCCACAAAGTTCTTTTCTTATTCATGAATCGTCATGTCTCCTTACAGTTTTGAATTCAGAGTTGTCTTTTTATGTAGACTGGCTGCTATATAAACCTAAAGTGCTTTGTCTACCTTGTTATTTATTCTACAGCTTATGGGAGAAGAAATTTGTGCTCTTTGTAAAGGCATTTGTACAAAAGTGAATGTAATAAACTAAACTGGAATTTGAACTCAAGCCCATTGGTTCCCCTTTTATGCTAGTCACCATTATGCTACCTATATATTATTCTATTCTTAGAAGCTTAAAAAAAACTTGTTCTTGTAAATTCAGTCAATAAAGTTATAAAATTTTGCATTATAAATGTCAATGACATTGAAAGAAAAAAGATCTCTACCTGGAATTAAATTTAACATTTTACTTATTTCAAACATTTATTCCACTTACCTTGATTTTCTTCATTATCTGCTTCCTGTTTCTTGATTGTATTGATAGACTAGAGACAAAAAAGGAAAAAACAAATCAATAAGAAAAAAAAAAAATTACAATAGATACTTAGGAGCTCTTACCATACTACAGATATGACCTTTTGCCAGACTAAACAATGAATAACTAAAAGGTAGGAGGAAGTTAAAAAAAATTTAGTAGAATTTCATAAAAGTCAAAAGAAGATTAAAAAATTCATAAAAATGGAAAAAGTCATGGAAACATACTGAAGTCAGTGATTCTATGGGACTAGTAGTATTCTGAACAACAGATGAATGTTGCTGTTGTTGCTGTTGTTGCTGCTGCTGCTGCTGTTGCAGACTTTCCTGCTCCTTGCCTTTTTTATTAGCTTCTTCTGCAATTAAAAAAATAATTTTTTTTTAAATAAATTAGAAGGAGGAAAAATGCACAAGACAAAGAGAGAAGGATATTGAAATTAAATTTCTTCATTAAAACACTTACCAATAATCTGTTTCATTTTGGTAGTGACAGATAACAACTTTTCTGTTATATTAATGGCTTCATTCAGTTGTTCATTGGTGGCACCACCAGTACTTTCTGCCTGGGCCAAAATACCTGTGGACATGTTACTCAGTTTGGTTACAAGCTCAAGGGATTTGCTGACTTTATCAGACAACAGTTCTGTGTATTGACATTGGGATATCATGTCAGAAAATGATTTGCTGTATGATAAGATCTTTTTTTGTTGCTCTTGAAGTTGTTCAAGCTTCATCTCTCTGATAAAAGAGAAAAATAATTACATCTGGCATTAGTAGTATACTAATATCTACAATGATATATGCATTTTAGTAACCATTTTATAAACTTATTCTTAAAAGTAAATTAAAGAAAAAGAAAAAAAAGGAAGAATTTTAATGTTTTGAAAAGGGGTCATCATCAATATTATTAGTGACATTTAAATTCTTCATTTATAATCTTAGAAAATAAAAAAAGCTCTTCAAATCTTGAATATAATTCAGGCAGGTTAAATATAAAAACAGATATGCATAAAAATGAGGCTGAAGTAATTAGATATACGTTCTTCAATAAATATGTATATCTACATAGATGTATATCTTGATAAATTTTAAATGAGTTTTGTTAAGTTAAACCAGCAAAGTCTATTTAATTGTCTTTTTTCAAAATTTCAAATAAATTGTTGCACATCCAAGTCAAGATCTGGGGTTAAGCTGTCCAAAGTTCTTGTTTTTATTTGAGTATTTTTGAATATCTTATCAAGAACTATTGACATATGATAGACAAGATTTTGTTAGCTACATGCTGGTATTTTTTGGAATACTATATTTCAAATTCAATATAAAATTTTTACATTGGTCACACATTCATCACACACTTTCATATGTTCACTTGTCACTAATTAAAACTCTGTGCAATTTGTGCATATATAAATCATTATATCACAATTATTTATTAACATAAATCAGGTAAAAGCAAAATATTATATAGTACTCACTGCAAGGAAAGACTCAAAATACTGAAAGCTATTATTATACAAAAGAAACCATCCACAATAAATATCTTTCACTACATTAGATGCTATTTTAAAGAGCATTTAAAATATATATATATATATATATATATATATATATATATATATATATCCAAGTGGAAGGTAGGTTAGTGCCAATGTCCAGATATTATATTTTAAAAAGTGCTCAATAAATCTTCGAACTCATCATAGGCCCAATGTTTGATTGGCTAACCAAGGTCATCCCTCTAGCATATTAGAAATTTAGGTTGTTCCCCCCCACTCCCCGTTGAAGGTATTGCTACTTTTAAACCATAAAATGACTGTCTATTCTGCAGTTGAGCAGCACCTCCTGAGAAGGCACACAGTGTAGAAACATAATTGCATTAATGTAGTGGTTTATAACATGTTTTTGTTATAATTGTTAATAAATATTATTATAACATGTATATATATATATATATATATATATATATATATATATATATATATGATATCTCTTATACAATATGCATATATTTGAATTGAAACATTCCGAAACTGTAGCCAACAAAATCTTGCCTATCATGCTGACAACAACCAATTGTTAATAATGCCTGAAGCTGTTAAGAGTACTCTGGCAAAAATAAAACAAAAACATGACCTTTGCACAGTTTACAAACAATTTTAACTTGGATCTACAAAAACTTATTCGAAAATTAGAAAAATATAAAAATTTAACAGACAGTTAATTTGTCAGTTAATTTTAACAAAACTTGTTTAAATAAATTCATGACACCAAAACAGACATTTTTATAACTTGGAAATAAATTTGGGAATAATCAAAATAAATTGCTTAATCCAGTGAAAATCACCCATGAAATAAAAATAATTGTTTGTATGGAAAGTAAGGACCTATGTACATAAAATTGTTGTTAAATTAAGTGGCGGCTGAAAAATTATTCTTGAACTTTTAAAAGGTAAGATTAAGTATTAATGCAATACTTAAATGCAGTAATCAATTTTGAGTTCTTCTGTAGTTTATTGTTGCCTATCACATCTACTCCTCCCTACAAGGAGCTAGTTTAAATGCCACCTGATTGGTCAGCTTTTAAGCTAGTTATTTATATAGTTATGTATGTATGGATATTACATATTTGAATTTACAAAGCTGAATTATCATAGAATACTGTTTATATTCTTACTTATGAGTTTGAGAAATGACATTCTTTGCTACAGGCAAAATGTCATATTGTAACTCTTGTACAGAACTGGAGTCCTATCTCAAATCTTGTCCCACTGGGAATGAAGAGTTTTTGTTTAGGCATGGGTTTTCAGTAGTTTGCCGCTGTAATTAGTGTAAGAGATTTTAGTTTTTATATTTGGAATAGCTTTAACTTTTTTAATTGAGGTAATTATAAGATTTATTTATTGCTATTTGATGTTTTCAATGCAAAAACGACTTTTTTGTGCAAAATTCACTAAATAATGTAATTTAGGAAACCTGGTTTTCTTACTTGGAAGTTAATTTTTCACTTAAAGTTAATATTTTCTATTAAATTTTTATTCATAAAAGCAAATACACTAATGATCAACTTTATTTTTGCCTAATCAGTATTTCTGTAACATTTCAATTTTACTTAATTTAAAGAAATAATTTATCAAGCAGATTTTTTTAGTCTTTTATATAACAAATGTTACAAATTTTTTCCAAGTTAATTTTAACAATGTTTTATGTTTAATTATTAACAGACTTTTCTTTTAAAGACATTCTATGATTCTGTTTTTACAAAGCAAAGTTTATTTAAAATTGCTTTTATTTGTTACATAAAGTTAATATTTTCCTATATGATACTGTTATTCATAACAACAAATATATTGAGCATAAAATTTCATCTTTTATGAATAATGTGTTTTTCTTTTTAAAAAAGATATTTAAAAAAAATATGTTGAACTTTAGTTTACCATTAAAAAACTAAATAGAAAAAAATAGAATATTTTATACAACAAAATTAATAAAAAATCATTAAGAATGTTGTTGATATCATAATTCAATAAATTTAATCAGATATCTTTAGATAGTAAACTAGGTGTACAAAATGTTAAACCTAACACTGCTGCAAAACCACACGCTTTTAAGAGTCAATTTTTTTCTAGGTAGATCTATAATCATAAAAATATATATTTATGACAAAAGAAGTCAGCAGAGCAATAGTTATTTTATTTTCTAAATAATAAAAGTAACTTTCATTTTTATTTTGCTCCATGTCATATTTTTGTTCCAGAATCTCAATATGAAATTTTTCATTAAGAGTTTTAACATGAATAATTCAAAGATTAAAATGAATGTAACATTTTGTACACCCTTATTAAATTTCTTAAGCTGATTAAAGCACTTCTTGTTCCTACAAACATTATAATTATTCCAGTGTCATATACAGCACCTTGAAAAATTGTCTAGCACTTCTTGTAATATTAGGTTTATACCGACAATCAAAGTGTATCTGTAAGTTCTATTTTAATAGCTTCTTTTTCACTTCTCGCTTATGGAACTCTCTTATAGCTTCCTTGGCAACTACAATCTACAAAAATGTAAATGCAATGTCAATCATCATCTTCTGTCCCCTTGAATGCTGTTCCTTTTATTGTCCTTTCTCCTCAGTAGTTTTTTCTTAGTTTTCTAAATTCTCAATAACACCTTGTATTTTAGTGGTTTTATCAACTTGCTTAGGGTGAAATGTTAAAACAAAATTATATATATATATATATATATATATATATATATTAAAAAAAATCTTCAGTGACAATAGGTATATAAAACTTTTACCTGTCTTTTCTTGCAGCTTCTTCTAACTGCTTTCTTTTTAACTTTGCTTCTTGAAATTTAGAATATGCAGTCTAGAAAAAAATATTAAAAAAAACAAACATTAAATGTTAAAAATTAAAGACTGGCAAATATTAAAAGGATTATATATCTGTAAAATGCCAACCATTCTGTTGAAAAATAAGTTTCAATATATTTCAAAATATCTTTATAAATATTACTCTATAATAGTTAATAGTGATCTTAAGTTTCATATTGACATTATAAGTCTTTGGTAGTATAAAATATTAAGTATCACTGTCATGTCAGATTACAGTTTAATTCTTTAGAGGTGGAATCAATTTTAGTCCTTTACTGTCTATGCACATCAAAGTAGTGTGATGCTTAAAAGACTAACAGTTATTAGCTAAATTTTGATCTGGAATTAATAAAATGATATCGAAAAAAATATTTGTTTTAGTAATTAACAGATTTTTTTTTTTTTAATAAGCTATACATTTATTGGTGTGCCTACATATGAATAACATTAAGTTGTCCACAAAATGAAATAAAAATTCAAACATAACAGTGATAGATTTATCTACCACTCACATTCATTATTATTAGAATTGAAAAGAGACAAAAGAATCTAAGATTCTAGAAGAAATGCATCAAAAGCTAAACCAAAGCTACAACAATGTATGATCTTGGTGAAACAGTGGTATATTTGTTATATCTCAAACTTCTATTACAGTAGAGTACTATCTGTTGGTATTACCTAACTCTACACTGAGAAAAAAAATTAGACAATCAAGCAGATATTTAATGTTAACAATTTGAATGAGTAAAGAAAAAGTTATAAAAAAATCTCCAACTTTGATCAGCAGAAAAGTGAACAATTACAATACAAACTGATAGTCATTAAAATAAACTCAGATGATAAAATTGTTATTTTTACACTATCCTATTAACCATATTATCACCTTAAAATGACCTAGAAGTCTGATTATTCATATTTCTAGGTCTCTTGATTCATGGCAAAACCTTACAAGTATCTTCACCTGAAAAATGATAATACAAGCTGACAGCCACTAAAACTCAGATGATCAAATTGTTAGGTTGGGAAATTCTATTGCTGCCTTCTTATTTGCTAATTTTCAACATTTTTCATTCATACAAATCATTGAAGCATTTTTTTTAAAGATAAAATGTTTAAAATAAGGACATGATCAGTTCAACACTATAAAAATTCTTTTCTACAGAATGCTATATTCATTCAACAAACAATAAAAGAATTAATTATATACTGGACTTCTATAATTTCAAATGATGATTAGGTTTTTGATAAATTTAAGAATTGTTATATTTGAATAAGTGATTTTATTCCTTATCCAAAAGGAGACATCACTTTCTATACAAAATAGTAAGTATACATGTAAGATTTCAATCATTTCATGAGACAATGAAAAAAAAAGAAAAGAAAAAAGCTGTTATTCATATACATAGTGTTCTCTGAACTAGAATAAAAGACTTTGATTTTTACAAGAAATTCATAGTTGAGTTTCAAATATCTTTCCTTCTTTGGAGGTGAAGGTGCTGCTATCTGATCACAGAAACTGAATTAGCAAATAAAAAATAAAGTAATAGATCATTTATATTCAGGCTAATAGCCCCATCCCTGTTGCTATTATCACAATGTTTCAGCCAGTATGAACTTGAGGCCTTAAATCAAGGGTCGGTAACTCATTCAACCCTGCAGGATGGATCGTGTTATAATGACGGGTCGCAGGCCGGACGAAGGCCATTAATGAAAATTACATATGCAGACCCCTGTCAACCTAAATATTTAAAACCATAATGAAAATAAACATTGAGAAATCAGAAAAACAAAAGAAAATCTAAAATTAAAAAACACCTAACAAAAATTACTTTTCCTCAAGGAACGTCAAAATACTTCAAAGTGAAAAAAATCAACTGAAGTGAAATGGATGAAATTATGACGTGTCGGTTTGAAACTGTTATTGAAAATTGTTCCACAAACGAATCACACACACACACATACATCAAACAAAAACGAAGCACATATACCCATACATACGAGTACAAATAGTTGCAAACATACACACTTACGTACGTACACATGCGGTATCATCCACACATTCATGAGGCATGTATTCATAATGCGCGTATGTTTAACTGTCTTTAGATTTCTGCTACCTCGCATGTCAGTCCCTCCCTGGCCTCTTTCACTTTATCGTTCCTTTCACTTCTGTTATCTTTTAATGTAGCCAAGGATCATAACAAATATGTATCCATTATTTGACATTAAACGTAGGCAACGCAACTTGGTAAAATAAGTCTCATGAAAGATAACTGGCAGATAGTCTAAAAATAGAGTCATTGGTAATCAGGCTCGTGGGCCAGTCAAAATGCCTTCGTGGGCCGGATCCGGCCCACGAGCTGTAGGTTGCCGACCCTTGCCTTAAACATTAGATTTAAAGCTCCTAGTTCTACATTCAGGCTAATAGCCCCATCCCTGTTGATATTGTCACAATGTTTCAGCCAGTATGAACCTGAGGCCTTAAACATTAGATTTAAAGCTCCTAGTTCTACATTCAGCATTGTACCACAAGAAAATAGCCTGATAGTCAATGTATTAGTTTATGTTTTTAGTGACATAGTAACGGTGAGTTCAATCATTGGGCTGTGTAGTACTAAAAGGATTAACAGTACTAAAAAAAAAAAAAAAAAAAAAAAAAAAAAGGATAAAATGAGATATCTACAAAGATTAAATAAAGGGTTCAATTCAAAATTTCTTGAAGGTTATCTGGATTGACAGACACCTGAAGAAGGTTGAAGAGTACAATGACCAAAATGTCGTAATAATGACACCAAAGATGCAGACATGAGTTTGAATGTAAATAATAATAACTTACAAGAGAATAATAATGATAATATAATTTAAAGTAAAATAATATTTATTTATATAATTTAAGAGTGAATAAATATCTTGTTTGAAAAGAATTCATTGGCTATTTGATATTATTTCATGATACAAGAGAAAAATGTAACATGTTAGTGTCACAAACAATTCTATATTTATGTTCCAAGAATGTGACCTTGTGCCAAATTTGGTTTTTAATCATTTAATTAATGAAAATATTTTTTGTCAGGAATATTATGAATATTACCTCATTGTGATGTATGTGCTGTTTCCGGAGTTGTTGCTGGTACTTCTCACCTTCCTCCACTCTACAAATAGATTTTCAATTAAAATATTACTTAAAGATTTTTATTTTTTTATTTTTATCAAAACACATTATTTTTATAGTACAATTTATATGTTGTGACTTTTGCTAACTTGTCCGTCACTTTCAAGATTCAGGGAAGGATGTCTTTTCTATGCTACCATCTCTTCCTCCCACTTACACTTGTTTTTAAAAGCAAAGATCAGTTCAATAACACTTTAGGTTTTGTACCCTTTTTCACTCAGTACCCTAGTAAGCTCCAATTGAAAAATTAGTTGTTTTTTTTTGTCAGTTTTGCTTCATCTTATATATGCCGCCTTACAAGGCAGATGTGAGCTAACTTATATTGTGGTATACCCATATATTAAACTTACAATATATATATATATATATATATATATATATATATATATATATATATATATGATAGAAGATAATATTATTTGGTAATCTGTACGGATAATTCCAAAAAGGATATAGATCCAGAGAGTTCAATGTAAGAACAGATACATAAATTTAATGCATTTATTTTTAACCTGATATTAAACATTAATGGATACTTCATATTTGAAATAGGACACCATTTTTATTTATTAGTAGTAAAGAAAATACATTCCCTGACAGGGATTGAACTTGCACCTCCTTTTATAGGAGAAAGCAGTGTTTGATCCAATGTTCTTTACCACTTAGCTACAAAGAGTGTCACAGCAAACAAAGTTTTATTAGTAGACATAAAACACTGTTTAATAAATAAAAGTGATATCTATTTCAAATACAAAGTATTCCCTATAATATTGTTTGAAGTGTGTGTGTGTGTGTGTATATATATATATATATATGAAGGAAAATCAATGATAAAGTGGAAAAAAAATGTTTGCAGGCAGCATGTTTTATCCTTTTGGGCTTCATTGAACTAAATTTGAACTTCATTGATGTAAATACATATGTGCATGAAGAAGAGGGGACACTTAAATTTTAATCTTTTAAGTTTAATTTCTTTTTCTATCTTTTAATATCACAATATGGGATACATAATGATAAAAATGATAAAAGCATAAGTGAGTGGGAAAAGGGATAACAAATTGAACAATAAAATGTTTTTTCTGAAAAAGATAAAATTTGCCTAATGAATGAAATAAAAATTCAAACAATAAACAGCAAGTAGACAAAACAAAAACAACTAAGTAACGATAAATACTACATCTTGCTTGTGGCCATTTCTTAGAGGCTTACTGTCAACTGCAACTGCTTCGGAGGAATGAAGATGTTACTGATATTGTTTGTTGCAAAACAGCCAATGGATACCTGTTTATCCACACAGGAAATACGGCTGTTCAGACAAAGATACTGACTCATGCTAGTTTAAATCTGCAAAAGGCAACTTTCTTTTTTATAAGCTGTGTACATATGCATATGAAATAGCTATGAGCATCCTCAACACCAACTTAGTCTCCATATTGTACTCATTTTTGTTATAAGTTTGAAAGTAAAACAAATGTTAATGTGTGGGGTATAGAATGGCAAAATCAACAATCTGCACCGATACTCAAAAACAAATATGAATTAAAAAATGTCCAGATAGTTATGAAGAGAATAACTAATTTTAGTGAAGAGATAGGAAATTTACTTTTGGTTTAGATTAAAGCAAATAATGCCAGTGATAGTATAAATGAATTGATAATTTGTGTTAAGGTCAGATAGTTGTTTAGTGACCATAGAGCTAATAAAGCCAGTAGAAATGATATGACAGTGACAGGTTTTCTTGCTTTAATTAATTTCTGGATTTATTTGTTCTTTATTTATATATATATATATATATATATATATATATATATATATATATATATATATATGGTCAGGCAAAGCCAATTTCATGTTTTCAAATGAAATTTCTTGTAAACAAAGAAAATTTTTAGAATGTTTTTTTTTTTTTTTTATTAATCTGACAGACTTTTTATCACTTTAAAGGGGTTATTTTTAGTGGATACTTTTATTTGAGTAGGCACTCTATTTATTAAACAGTAGATTTATTTTCACCTACTGGCCTGAATGTTCAAGAATGGATATGAAAAAACTTTGAGAGATCTATGACAAGAGAAATTTTGCTTGAAATTATGTATATATTTATATATTTATTATTTGGGTATTTCCTTTTCATTCATATGCATTTATGTAGAGTCTAGGGAAGTCTTAGAATGAATTATCCTATTTATATTCATTTCAGTTACTCACAATGATAAATTTGATTAATAAATGAAGCCCCAGAATGTATTATATCTGAATATAGAGATACTAATGCCCAGTCTAGTATTTCAGAAACATTCTCTTTGCTTTAGTTACACTAAAATATAAAAATAAAATACCAATTAAATTCAAATACATATTTCTATGTGTAAATTATTTTAAGTTAAAACTAAATATTTTAAAGAATTTTAGAAGTCATGAAGATCTGTTGCTAATAATCTTACTATTGGATTTGCTAGTAATACTATTAGTATTAGTAAATATACAAAATATTTTACTACTCATCAGATATAGAAAGCAATTAAATTTTGTATTTCATTTCATTAAACTAAGTACAATTTTTAAATGGGTTTTCATTGCTTTATAACAAAAAAAAAATCCTTTTTCATTATGTTAAATATTTTCTTAAACATTTTTAGTTGTTAAGGTGAAACATGGAATAAAAAAGTTAGTAACTACTGGAGTAAAACCGTTTTTTTAATAAAATATTTTGTTTTTATATACTATTATTCACCCAATATAAGACTTAAGTGGTATTCAAGAGGATTAGTGAATGATGTTCTCAGGACATAAAGGGAAGAAGTAAGAAGTGCATATATGTAGGGTAGATAATGGTTGATCCTAGACTTAAAGATCAGGGAAGTATCTACAAAGTAACAGTATTCTCTTTGGACTCTGTCCCACAAAGTAACAAGAACTAAGGTAGCAAAACATCATCACTCCAAGTGGTATACATAAAAACCTGCATGAATTGTCAGAAACAAAGTAGTAATTGGGTTCTTCATCATGGCATTAAGAGTCCTCACAAGAAACTACTACATGATCAAGATCCCATTCACAAAATGGCAATAGAGTAGCTCTGATATTATGCACCTGCTGATAGAATAACTGCCTTAGGTGTTACTCCAAGGCATCAGCCCCCAAATGGTGCAACAAACCTTATAGGTGGGGCAGAAGAAGATAGCAACTGAGATAGAATGATTGAAAGACAAAAATTTAGAAATAGTTTCAATAAATTCATATGCCAAAAATAAATATGATTTCAAAATTATATTATTATTACTTGCAATTGCATGCTTGAGTCCCAGTACAAACGGTTATAAATAATTACTGACCAATTTTATCATTGTGATATTTTTGCATTCAAGTATTAAGAATATAGTAACTAGAATCTGCAAATTGGAGGAGAGAGTTATCAATGATAATGCTCTTACTTCAAATCAGCAGTTATCTCCCTTTAACTCTCTCTGTTTTTTTTTAATTTTTAAATGTACTTATTATCACATAAAATTTGGTGATGTACGAGCAAATTTTCATTCCAAAAATGCAGCCAAGAAAAAAATAAGTTTGGGAACTTCTGCTATAAGGTTTTGATCCCTGAGTATAGGCAATTAATGCCAGCACTGAAAAGTGTTTACCTCCAGTACCCTTGGTAAAAAGACGAACAATCCAGGACTCAGAAGAAAATTACAAACATACTCCCCAAAGAGAAACTATAACATTTACTCAGGAATCAAGGGAACAGAACATGCCTAAGTGGGAACCCAGCCACCAAGATAAGCTTGCTTGATATTGAGGACTAAAGGACCCATTAGGAGAAGTAGAAGGGGGAAGGGATTTCAATGGTTTGTTCTACATTGATTTCAATTATCAACTCTTACAAAAGTATATTATTTTCAAAGTATCCAAGTAACTGTGTGGTTTCTTTGATTAAAAGATTTTTTAATCAACCAATAAAATATATTCTCAGTAATGCCTTCTTTTCTGGTAATATATACAATATTTCATAATACATAAGAAACAACATTCTAGTGCAAAGGTCTTGACAGCTAATGAGAAGGAACTGGTATTGGTACAAGTCAGTCAGTACAATATAGCAATTGGTTAATATTCAATCATGATGATTATAAAGAATGTAACTGGTCAAGTATTAACCCTTTAACATTCAACAAACTGTGAGGCAAAAATAAAAAAAAATAATCATGGATTTTAAACAAACTGTACAGGCAAACCTAACCTAATAAAAACATTGATTTTAAACAAAGTATGTATTAACAAAAGGATAGTGCATTAATGTGCACACAGCTGAAAGTAAAGGAAAAGATATTAAAAACTTAGCTATTAAAAATATGCTTGTGTGTGGGTGTGTATATGTACGTTTGTCTAGGTCAGTCGACTGGGGAAAAGAACACTCCCCCAGCAGAGATACCTTTATCTACATCTGGAAGGGGAAGGAAATATTTGTCTTTTTATAGAATTTAAACAATGCCTCCTAATAGGTGTTTGATGAAGCCAAATGAGGTAAGCCACAATATCATTACAAATAACATAGGAAGTCACACAAACATTGAGACTTTGAGGGCCGATATTGACTGGGGCTGGTTTGAATGTGTGTTGAATGCTAAAGGCTTAAATTAAGATTAAAGAATCTAGAATGGTAGATGTTTGTATTGTTAAGAAAACTTTGTCCATTAAAATATATATATAAAAGCCAGATTGGACTTCTGTAATAAATACAAGTTATAGACTATAGAGAAATGAAGAAAGGTAATTTTTTAAGTGATGAGTTCAATGATAAATATGCTTTCAGAAGTGGAAATGTTATTGTTTCTACAAGCAAAAGTTTTGGTTGACTTGCACTGACAATTATTTCCTCTACTTATCTTGTAACTCACTATTACACTGCTAATGGTATTTCAACTAACTTCATCTGAGTTCCTCATATTAGAAAACTTAAAAACAATATTTAACTGGTGGAGGGAGACATCTAGCCAATCATTCACATGTTTACAGGTTTTGATAGGGTTCATATTACCACATCACTAATGTTATTTTTAATATTTTTGAAATGCTCATTTTACAAATTTTTAAAGTCATGCAATTATCAAGTTGTAATGATTCCTTTCATAATTCTTATTTGCAAAGAGGTAAAAACCAAAAATAATCACGCATTTAGGTGTAAAGAAAAAAGCACAAAAAGAATTTCTATGTTTACTAAATGTTAAGAATGATGATGTTGAATTTTTAACATGCATTGTAAAGTTTAAACATTTTCTAAAAACTTTTATAAACACACTATTTTTAGATTATATGTTCTATTTTACAAATAAGATTAATATTTTACTGTCAGATTGAAATATATGAAATCTTTTGATGTTTTTCATTTATACTTACAACTGCTTCTGCTGAGCTTTAAGTTCTTCATATCGACAATTATCTCTAAAAGCTTCCTGTTTGCAGAGATCTTCTAATTCCAATTTTGTCTTGAAATTTAAATTTTTTTCATTTTCATAAAATTCCTGAACCTTCTTCTTGATAGCCAACTGAAATAAATAAACAAATAAAAACAAACTCATTTTACAAAACCATTTCCTTTTAAGTAACACAGATTATTAAATAAAATTGTTTTATTTTATTAAATACAAAATTTATAGATATTTTTCATCTTTTACAGTAAAAATCCTAATCCTTACTTTTTGTAAGTATAAAGGTATTTATAATGAAAATACAAAAGTGAGAAATACAATCATATATGGTAATGATTATGATTCTTAGTGAGTTTTACAGATTTCAAACACTTTAACAAAATATAGCTATTTTTTTTTGTTTTTTGCTTTTATGTAGCATATATGCATATATTATCTTATATATTACAAGTTTCTAATCTGTCTAAACTAAAAGTCAAAGCCTTATTTTACAGTCATTAGTAAGTAGTGTACAGTAGAAAAATTCATAAGGTATTCTAAGTTAGGCTTAGAAAAAAAATTGGGAAAACAATATTTTCTTTTATTTATAGTAATAAAATAAGTACTATTTTTATTAAAGTTTATTAAAATATTGCTTATTATCAGACTATAAATTAAATGAATTATTTTACTACTATAAATAAATTAAAAATATTTAACTATTTTTTTTTTCCTATTCAGAAACTGCAGTTATGAATCTCCCCCCCCCACACACACAACCAAACTCTCATCTCTTATTCCTGAAAGTTAAGATAAAAAGGCCACTTACTGCAATCATTCAAACATAACCATTCTTTATTTTCTTCCTAAATCCTCTCATATATATATATATATATATATGGAAAAAAAAGTGACAATAAATGCAGTGTTTATTGACTTACAAACAAGATTAACTTACAAAGAATATTAAATGCCTGTTTATAAGTATTCAAACTGACAACAAAGTCAAAAAGTGAGTACATTTTTTTTGAAAACTATATATATATATATATATATATATATATATATATATATATATATATAAATAAATATTGATAATCCATATGGAATTTCCAAGAAGATATAGATCCAGTGAGAGCTCTATGTCAAAGACATAGCAGTAATTATTATATAATGAAAAAACAAGCACTTAAAATACCAAAGGTGATATTTATCTCATCGATGTTGATAAAAATGGCCTCAATCTTCAGACCTGTAAACCCAATGTAAATGGGGAAAAAAAAAAAAAAAAAAAAAAAAAATCCAGGTTTAAAACTTAATAAATTTACTTTAAATATACTGATATCATATTGAGTGAGTGAGGGAAAGAAAGTTGTAAATTTATGATTGTATAAGAGGAGGGAAGAAAGGAAATGGTGTGTTTCACTCCCCCCCCTCTCCCATATATATATATATATACACACACACACACACACACACACCATCTCCTAAGCAAAGTTTAAATAACTGAAGATCGTAGGGTCAAGATAAAACATCACTACAACATTACTAGGGTCATACAGAAATGGGGCTTAGGGTCTAGGCCACCTTCCCCAATATTTAAAAAAAAATATTAACTATGGGGGTCTAGATAAAACTCCACTACAACAATACCAGAGCCATACTTTCAGGTTGGTGGGTTTAGGGGACTAATTTTTAAATAAATATTTTTTAAATAAGTATTTAATTACTATACTCTATGGTTTTCACACAAATAAAATCAATTTATCTAAGTTGTATCTTCTTTTCAAATTATTATTTTAATAAAAAAAGTAGTAAATAAATTAAGTTTTAGATAGTTATTTCTTTTCAAGGTAACAAAAAATATATAGCTTCATTTCTATTTTAAAAAAATTAGGGGAGGAGGCTTAGCCCCCCTCCCCACATCCGCGCACCAGAAAAGCCCAAAAATCAATATCCAACTGACTTCTGAATTTTCCAGGCACCCCTCTACTCATGTTCAAAAGTTAATTTATAATGAATGAGCAAAGAGGAGAAAAAAAAGATTTAACATTAAGATTTTTTTAAAATTTCTTAAAAAACAAAAACAAAAAATGCTTAGAATCAACTGATACAATTATAAGTTCTATACATAAATATCTAGTAATAATTAATATTTTTGTACTATATATAATTAGCTGAAAATATTGCATGTGTCTGTATTACAATAGGTGGGGTGGGTCGTGGGGATTGAATGTGACAGAAAAAGGTGACCTAAATTCATTTAATGGGAGATAACCTATTTCAACATCTGTATGTCACAATCTTATGGAAAAAAAAAGTATAAAAAAATCTGACATAGGAGGAACAGAGTAAGTTTGAAATTATGACAAATCTGTTCTTCAATGGTTAATTAAATAAAAAAAAATAAAGATTAAAAAAAATAATTGCAATTGAATTCAATATTGTTAAAGTTGTGACTGGAGTCTCCATATTGTTAATTTGGATTTTAAAAAGAAAACAAGTTATAAAATAATTGTTTTCTTTTATTATGCTTAAATAATTTTTAAACACATATTTACATTTTTTTGAAAATCTGCTATCATCAATAAAATATTTGACTGATGTGACAAATATATATTTAATAATTTATACAATAAACTATTTTATGCTTTAACTTACCAACATTTAGTACTACTGATGATTTATGTAAAAGACTTAAGTAAAAAAAACTACTAGAAATTTCTTTATTAACTGTTAGTAAACATACTTTCTATTTAAAAGAATTCCAAAACAAATTTATTCTGCTATTATATATGTGAATGAGCTGCACACAAACCTTAAAATGAAATATTTTAAACATCTTCTTATATAGGCCAAAGTGACCTATTATTAAATGTAATTTACTAATAAAAATAAGTAAATGTAGGGATTAAAAATGGAAAATCTAAAAATAAAAAACAAATTGAAAATTAAATAAATGAAGTAAATGTGAAAAATGGGGAAAGTAAAAATGGAAAAACTGAAATAAATAAATTGAAAAAAAGGAATATAAAAAAGAAAAAGTGAAAAAAAAATAAAAATGAAAAAAGTAACTAAATTAAAAATGGAAAGTTTAAAAAAAAACTTGAGAAAGTGAGAAAAAGTGAATAAAACATAAAAATGAAAAAATTAATATGAAAATTGAAAATGAGAAAAGTTTTAAAAATTATGCAAATGTAAAAATGAAAAATAAAAATAATTATACTATATAGATAAAAATGAAAAAATAAAATTTATAGATATGAAATATGAATAAAATGAAATACAGAAATGATGAAAATAAAATCAAACTGGAAAAAAAAAATGACAAAAAGGAGAAAATATGTGGAAGAAAAATAAAAACTGATGAGAAATGAAGAAAGTATGAAAAATATAAAAATGATGCTAAAATGAAAATAATGATAAATTAGAAAATGAAAAATAGATAAAAATAAAGAAAAAAATGAATAAAAGATAAATAAAAAGTAAATTAAGTTGAAAATAGAATATAAAATCAATGTATATTAAAAAAAAAAAAGAAACATTGAAAAAAGAAAATAATAATAATAAAGAAAACATGAAACAATCTTCACTGGTTAAATTACATGTGTATTGCATACTAAATTAATCAAAGTTCATTAAATAGTCAGATAAGTCAGATTAAAATGTGGCAATCACCTACCAAAATGTTACAGGTAGTATTAATTGGTAGTTATTATTTTAAAATGTTTTTTATTGTATACTAATAATACAAGAAATGCTTGATTGAGGGTGAGGCAAGTTTCTTTAGACTGTTTTTTCATCCAGTAAGGACAGACATATGATAAAGGTTTCACCAGTTCATCAAGCAACTCTTTGCAACAGACAAAAAAAAATTATAGACTTGGAATATAAGCATTCAACTTCTACCTAATAACCAATAATTTAAATAACCATCAACTCCGCAACAATATCAATGTGGCCAAATAGAAAATATCAAGGAGGAAATGAACAGATTTAATATTAATTTGCTTATATGAAACTAGGTGGAGGAATGAGGACTCATGCTGGATCAATGTATGATGAAATGCATTTTGGGATATTGTCAACTGTCTAACAGAATTCATCTAGTTATGTTGAAGGAAGACATTTAATATATACAGGGTGCGATGGATAAATTGTTGCCACTTTATATTTTTAATTTCAAATATACACATTTGTCTTTGATTTTGGTGACTGCACAGTATAGTAGGGTTAGTTGGGCACTGTCTATGAGAAAAAGAGCACCATGATGCAATTCACTCTGCCAGAAATTTGGCAACAGCATGCTGTACTACTTGGCATTCACACCAGAAGCTCTAATATAAATATTTCAGAGTGTTTGTGTGACAATCTGAGGACAATGCAGAGGATTCAGAAAGAGTTGGATGAGTCTAATGGTGATTATGATGGTATGGCACCTTGGAATACTCACTCTGATCATTCTGATAAGAAAAGAACTGCCAAATTTGTTGGTGAGAGCCTCAGACTCAACATGGGGCTACATCAAGTACCTTGAGCAAGTAGTTCTGCCCTGGGTCAAGTGGATGGCTGCTAAGTCAAGTGTCTGAAAATAGGACTCTGCACCATGCCACAAAGCAGGAGAACCCAGTCATGGCTGTCAGACAATTTCTGCAACCACATCACCTATTACATCTGGCCACCTAACTCTCCAGACTATAACCCCTTTGATTATTAAGTGTGGGGCGCAGCTGAATGAGAAACCAACAAAACTTGTAAAACCAAAAATGAACCGAAGGCAAGGATTATAACAGCATTCACAAACTGGAACAAGGAGACTGTCCAGAAGACTTGCAGGAAATTCTGAAGTCGTCTGGAGGCCATGGTTGGGAGACCAATGGTGATTTTATTGAATAAATTTACTTTTTAGTATTTCAAGATATTTTTGTGTAATTTTGGTAAATATATCTGTTAAAATGAGATGTCAGTGTTATTTTCATTTTTGTTTAATTTAGGCAACAATTTATCCATTACACCCTGTACATTATAGTAGTATATGCATCAAATGAACCAGCTAAAATTGTTAAATTTTACAACACACTGGATAATGTCAAGACTCAACATAAATTGCAGGAAATACAATAATCATGGGAGACAAA